TTTCATATTTTCTCCATTATTGATACAAAATTGGAGTCATTGTAAAGGAGCAGTTTTTGTTGGATAAATGCAAGTTATTGAAATATTTGAACGTGATTCACTTGTGGACAGTTGTTGCTCTATTTGCGAAAAGAATTTTTCGATCGTAGGATAAAATATGCTTTTTCTATAGTTAAATACATTTGGTAGCACACTTTCATCAAACCAGTCTTTCAAGGTAAGAGTGGGGTCGAGAATGAGGAGCCTTTGTAATTTCAACTTACCCTAGCAACTTTTGAGCAATTCCTGATATTTCAGAAGATAAACCGAAGCGGCTCTATGTGCGACCCTTTAAAGCACAATGTTAAGGAAAAGGAGAAAACAGATGCTTAAACCTTTTGGGGCAAAAATGGTGAAGTCTAGACCTCATGTAAAGATCGGTGCCGTAGGCGAAGGACTTTGTCTGCTGAACGCGTGAGAAGTTTTGAGAGAATTTTCAAGACACTTCGGTCTAATCGTGAAGTTGCGTAACCTAAGGTACTAATATGCCGTTAAATCTGAGGCGTTGGTGTTTTGATGTCGCAGGTGGATGCAGTAGATGTGGGTAAGGAATGCGCTTCTTTATGCAGGGAGGCGCCATTTTATTTCAACTCTAATTTTTTTATTGAACGAACACACCGCGATATACGGCGATGGCGATGATTTGCTTTAGAAATTTCAAGATAAGTCGCTAATAACGCACCGTCGTACAGTTCTGGGTGTTGCAGTACCTTTAATTGTTTCCTTTTTGAGGTGTGGCAAATCGAACAATTGGGTAGCACGTGAATATTTTTGTTTTGCCTATAAATGATATTAAAGCAGCGTGAATTTGCATATTTTCTTTTCCACCACTTCAATTAGCTCCCATTACAAAAAGTCGGAGCGGAGTATGGACGGAATGTCGAATTTTACTGCGTTGCTTGTGCCTGTTCAGTCAAGTCAATATATCTATCAAATTTTACAACTAAAATTACAAGTGGTTTAGTGTTGGTGCTTTTATGCCAAGTTAGAGTCGGTATTATTAGCTAGCCTCATGTGACCACAGAATCCTATCAATACGGCCACAGTGCATCTGCTGCTCCCCCCTTCTTTCCCAATCTCTGCCATCTGATTGGTGGAAGGCACTCTTACAGGGAAAGGAAGGGATTTGCTCAACTCACCCGTTGTCCAATCAGATCAGAAGGCTTGGAGTGTCCCCCTCTTGGAACTACAAAAACAAGGATGTGGGCGTTTGCCAACGTGGCATCTTTAATGAGTACTATTTCAAGCAGCTATAACTTGCTTCTCCCTCCGTCCATCTTGTAAACACAATCTCCTAATTGAGTGGGAGATTCTTTCAAAAACCGAAATTGGTTAATTGAAATTGAAGTTCCAATGGTAACAGTCCAGTCGTAACCTCTAAATCGGTCCTAAATTGACCCAAATTTTGGAATTTATAGTGACCAAGGCGCATTTTTGATAAGTACGAACTTTGTCCTTTGGTACAATTCTCTGCCACATTAAAACGCTCAATTCGGTGTTTGATCAGTGCTGAAGTTTGTCAGCAAAACAAAACTAGTCTGTAACAATCTGCCCCCTGTATTGGTGTCCATTGTAATCAACCTTGCCGCAGCAAATTCATTCTAGGTGGCTGCTCGCATTACTACATGATTGTTAGCACCGCAGAGTGAAGCTGCAAGCATTACTGTCTGATGGGATCTTTGCTAACGTGCATATATGGAGCTGTTATTTGACAAGTACGAACTTAATCCATCCAACTGGATTACCGTTGGTAGGATGGAGGACTCATCATGCTATTATTACCGTACTTGAAGTCTGGTAGGTATACGAGGGTCCGAGCGCGGCATCTGCGTTCGCCCCTTGTTAACTGTATGCACTCGGTGTCACTGTGTCCTGCCACTTAGGCTAGTGACACGGGCAATGGCTCGTGACACGTGGGTCGAGTGTCCGTAAAATGTGTGACTTGTCACTTACTGCCGTATGCACCGTGTCTATAGCACAATTTAATTAAAACACGTCGTGTTGGTGCACTCTCTATGACGAATGCTTGATTTCCCTAGTTCGCGTTTCTACCTGCCAGTTGAGTCTGAGATGTGCGTTGATGAGATGGTTCCCGGAGCGTGGGACAATGCACCAGATGAATCGATGGAGTACGTCACCAGCACTCCTCCAGCCAAAGACTCAGAGCCGTCGGAGTCCTCTCATCCTCGTTCTATCGACTTTCTGCCCGACCATGAGTGGTTTGTTAAAGGCGCTCGTCTGGGAAGTGTAAGGGATAGTTGAGTCCACACGTTCTAATTTCTTGCAATAAACGTGTAGATTAATTATTTCCTGGAAGAGAGATATAATTCAAATCGTTTTATGGATTTTGTCAACTTCAGCACTACCAGTTGTGCATTTCAGGTATCTGGGATAGCTCTGGCTGATGACAGCAAGGGCAAAAGTCACCTATTCATCCTTCGTCGAGGCGAAAATCCTTGGACTGAGGAATCATTTGACGAAAACTTTGAGTACAATGAAATTGATGCCAAATACGTGCCTTCACCTATTCTCCACGTAGACGCGCTTTCGGGGCAATTGTTCGAAGCGTTCGGTGATGAGCTCTTCATCCTACCCCACGGTATCTCCATCGCCAAAGATGCAACAGGCAAACCGATTGCTTTGTTCGTAACCGACCTCGCGCGTCACCAAGTGATGAAGTTTGCATGGAATGAGTGGAGTAAACCCGCTCTAATACTTGGTCGAAGAAACAAAGCGGGGAACGATGAGCAGTCCTTCTGTCAACCCGCCGATGTTGCCGTTGCTAGCACGGTAAAGAAATTAACCAAATTGTGTAAATACGCCTGCATTGAAATGCAAAAACTGTCGCGAATCTGTCCTTGTTGAATCGTTGATATTGTAGTTACCTGCACTGCGAGGTTTGTCCGACGTTTAAGGTAATGCATTCATAATGTGATACTGTTTCTTCCAATCGAAATCCGAAAGAACTCGGATAAGCTGGTGTGATCAATTTTCACGATGTATCCGCCTTTCATGGGTCATTAAATTACTGAATATTTGAAAAAAAAAATCGGATAAGTTATTATAGATGCTGTGAATTTTTATTTAATTCCGCCAGGGCGAGATATTTGTGGCAGACGGTTACTGCAATCAGCGCGTGGTGAAGTTCTCGCCCAATGGTGACTACTTAATGGAGTGGGGCGTGGACGGCGTGGACGGGAT